CAGGCCTCCAGTCCCACCCTGGCAGCCCCTAGGGGAGGTTCAGTCCCAACCTGGGGCCCAGGACATAGAGCCGGGGTGCAAAGGACGGCCAGAAGCCCAGGCTTCGGAGAAGGATGGCAATGACTCTCCCTGAGCTGGGGACGTGTGGGAGCCCCCAGGGAAACCTCGCAGTGGGCGGGAGGCCAGGGCTGGGCAAACCAGTGAGGCGGGGGGCGGGGAGGCAGGAGCCCGGGGGACTCACTCTCTGGATCTTACCCTTCGGGAGGGAGGCCAGGGTGTCCCTGGTGAAGCAGACCTTGCCGATGACGTCGTCCCGGCTACAGGGGGAGATGGAGTCAAAGCCAGACAGGGCCCTGGTACCCGCTCCCTGGGGGCCCAGCACCCCACCCCACAATTTCAGGGCCTTGTGGGGAGTAGTGAGCTTGGGCCAGTGGAGCTGGACCTGACCTGGATCCCGGGCATTCTCCCGGGCACATGATGCCCCTGCACGTGGACCACTAAGTACACCCACGGAGGTGCCTACCGCGTGGCCCGGGCCCGTTCCACCGTCACACCCGCTGCTCACTGTGCTCACCTGCACACACGCACACACACGCACAGGCCCTGCCTCCTCTCAGGCCCACAGTGGCCACCTGCCAGCCCAGCTACAGAGCCGGACACACCCACCTGAGTGCGTCCTCGTCCAGGACGTAGAAGGCCACGGCGTGGAAGGTGGGCGGCAAGTGCACTTGATACTCCTCGCCCCAGAAGGGGCACAGGGTCTTCCACACAGTGGCTGTCCTGCAGGGGAGGACCCTCAGCACTTCCCAGGCCACCTCCCGCTCGGGGCAAGGGCAAGGTGGGGCCGTGTGAGTCACAAATTCTCCCACCCCAGGTAACACAGGCTGTGTTGGATGTGTCCCCCTCTCGGCTCCCACTGTCCACCATCAGACTGTACTCCCTGACCTTCCTCTCTGTCCTGGATGGGACACAGGACATTTATGTATGGGACTAGTCTCACAGTTGGGAGCAGCTGGCCTCAGGTCACATAGTAGGAAGCCTGGCCGGGCACTGTGGTGCACAATTATGATCCCAGTGACTCAGGAGGCTGAGGCAGGAGGATTGCAAGTTTAAGGCCAGCCTCAGCAACTTAGCAAGGCTCTAAGTAACTTAGTGAGACCCAGTCTCAAAACAAAAACCAATGAGGGCTGGGGATGTGACTCAGTAAAGTGCCCCTGGGTTCAATTCCTAGTGCCAAAAAAAAAAAGTGTGGTGGAGGCTAAAAACCTAGCCTCCAGCCTCACCCAGCTCTGGCCGAACCTCTAAGACCAGCACCTTCAGCTCCTGGGATTCAGCAGGGCATATGACTGAGGGGCCTGGATGGAGGCTGGGGCCACCCCCTCCCAGGCTGACCACTTCTCAAGCCCTGTGGACTCTGGGGCCTTGGTTTTCCTGTCTCTGCTGAGACCATCAGAGCTGCCACGCCCCTGTCCCTGCTTTCCATCCATGGCCTGGAGAAAGGCTGGGCCACTACTTGCAGGTGGGGAGGAACTGTGAGCTGGTGGCCTTGGCTGGGGTCAGCAGCGGCCACTCCAGTGTGCAGAGTAGGGAAGCCACTCTGGCCACAAACTTAGAGGCAGGAGCCTGGGTGAAGGAGGGGATAGACGGCAAAGACCCAGCAGACAGGCAGGGCATCGAGGAGACCCGGTCCTTCTGGGCCCAGAGGGAGGCAGGCCTCACTGGGGGACAATCACAGGAAGGAAGGGACCAAAGTCAGAGCGAGGATGGGGCAGGGGAGAAGGGAGGGCTCAGCTCCAGTCTTCCAGACTTGAGACCTTGTCTGGCTGTGCCACGTAGGTACTGAGGGGTGTGACCTCGGGAGAGTCACCCAGCCTGAGCCTCAGTGGCCTTATCTGGGTGGGGCCTAATGACTGTGATGCCCTGAGAGCTAGCAAAGGCATGGCTCCAGGCCAGGGGAAGAAGTACGCTCTAAGTGACAGCACTGTGACTCTGCAGCGTGATCCCTCTCTTGGGGGCTGTGAAGACTACAAAGACCAACAGGCGGTCCAGGCCCTGGGTGGGGCACCCAGAGGGCCGCAGAGACCAGCACGAGGGTCAGGCATCAGCCAGGCCAGCTACAGGGGAGCCATCGAGTCTTGTCTTTTTTTCTTTTGTGTCTCTCTTCTCTTTGTGGCCCTGGGGATGGAACCCAGGGCTCCACGCATCCTGAGCAAGCGCTTTACCATGTGCCACATCCCCCAGCCCACAGGTGGCTCTTCTCAACTTCCAGCTGATGTGTCAGGACACAGGTGGGTTGGGGACTCCAGAGCTGGACCTCTCTGGGAGGAGCAGGTGGTTGGAGAGGGAGCTCAGGGGCCCTCAGGATCCAGGCAGGGCTGTACCTGATGATGGGCTCATTGTCCACCTTGACGATGCAATAGGGGTCGCTGCTGCCGTTGCTGTAGGAAAGACAGATAAGGGGCAGAGCTGGTAGGCGGGGCCTCCTGGGCAGCCCCTCCCTCTGCCAGCGACCCTGGGGGACCCCATGAGGAAGACAGTGCCAGTGAAGGCCGAGGCATGGCACCTGGATTGGAGTCCAAAGGCTCCTCAGGCCAGAACATGCGCCCACCCTCGCCCCTCGCCTGGGAGAGGTGGTGGGGAAAGGCAGGGCCCCAGAGACTCTTTCCTACCCACCTCCACCTCGCCCCACACAGTGTCCAGGCAACAGCCCGCACCTGCCAGCATCCCAGCACTCACCACGAAAGTCTTGCCCCTTACTCTCCCCCTCTGAGCCTTTGTTGCTACTGACCCTGCTGCTGGGACTGTCCCCAGGCCCCTCCTCAGCCTCAGAGACAGCAAGGGCTCCCCTGGAGTCCTGCCATCACCTCCACTCTCTCCTCCCAGCCCTGGGAGTGAGCCTTCCGGCCTCCCCCACATGCCAGAGCTACCTGAGGATGGGGACTACTTCTGTGTCACAGGGCCCAGGACAGGGGCTTGGCACAAGACAGGGCCTCCCCAGGGGTTCACTGACTGACTGAATGAATGAAGGAGGGAAGGAATAAGGGAACGGTTCCCCAGCCCTATTTGGGTCCCCCAGTCTCAGATGGGTGGGGAGTTTGTAGGGTTGAGAGGGGCCTCCAGCCAGCCCAGGGTGCTTACTGGGCAAAAAGGAGGAAGGTGCCCACAGTCTAGAACTGTCCCTCAGCCTGGCCTCCACAAAAAGGAAGTACATTTATATAAAATCCCGCTGCCACTCGCCAGTTCTCTAAAGGAGTTCTTCCGGCAGAGGACTCCCTGGGGCAGCAGCTCCAAAGGCCCTCAGGACCTAGGAAACATCCACCAGGCCTGATTTGGCTTCTGTAAAGCATGAACTGCCAGCCCAGCACAGTGACCTCCCCCACACCATCACCCAACAGCCCCTCCTGGGTGTGTGACCCCAGCTTGCATCTTGCCAGCCCAGAGCTGGGCAGCTCCAGGCCTCAGCCAGGCCCCCGCGTGCCCCTGGGCTGGGCTGGGCTGCAGGCCCCAGAACTACACTCACAAGCAGCAGGCGGAGGTCAGTTCAGGCTGAAGCCTAAGGGGACCTCTTTGGGCTGTGTCCCATGGGATAGTGTCCCCTCTGTCCTGCTACTGCCTGCTGACCTCAAGGCCCCTCAGGGCAGGGGACCTCTTGCTCCGCTCAGCTCCCACTCTGAATGCATGCAGGGAGAACGCTGAGGCTGGCAGGCAGGGTGGCCTGAGTGGGCACAGGCTTGGGGGCAGGGGCAGAACATGCACAGGGCAGTGCTGACTCGACAACTAGACCAGAGGGGTGGGAGGGGACAGTGTCAAGAGGAGGCCAGGTGTAAGGACCTGGGCCCAACTGCATTGCCTGATGAATTCTTGGTGAATCCTGCCCACGTCCTCCACCTTAGTGAGACCCCTGGGCTGGACCCTCTCCCGCTTCTCCTTGCCCCAGCCCGTGTCCACTGGCCCCGTCTGGCTCCTTGTGGGCCTCTATATTTAGGGCCTTGGCAGTTTCTAGGCTGAGGAAGAGGAAAGAGAGGGCAAACCCCAAAATAGCCCTGGGCCTGTCCCCAGGGCCACTGGGTGTGGGAACCAGTGGGTCACTGGTCACTGTGGGATCCAGCTCCTGCCCAGTGACCTAGGTACCAGGGATGGGAGCCAGCGGGGAGCATGGCTTTTTCAGAGCAGGCAGGCTCTGAAAGCTGCTGGTGGTAGAGGCATCTGTGTTCTGGGCCCTGCGGGGTAGAAACTCAGGAACGGCAGTGGCAGGAGGAAGGGGCAGCTGTGCAAGGAAGGGGTCCCTCTCATACAGGCTGTAGCCAAGATGGCCACCAGGGAGGTGGTGAGCTCCCCATCCTCAGAGGTATGCAACCCTGGCTGGCCGGGATGCGGTTCAGGAGATGGGCCCAGGGGTGGTGAGGCACTGCAGGCCACCCTGCTGCCTCAAGTGCTCGCTGAGGCCTCCCAGGATCTCCAAGCCCCTGGGAGCCCTGTAGCCAATGCTCTGCCTGGGATCTTGAGGCTCAGGCCCCCAAACCCCTGCAACCTTGGTCGGGAGAGGGTGCTTGGCAAGTCAGCAGTGGACAGAGTGGCTCACTTCTCTGCTGTGGGACCTGAACCTCAGCTTCCTCATCAGCCAATTCTGAAATGTACCTCACAGGGTTCATGGAGGCCTAGGGGAAGGTCCCTGACTCTCCTCTCCCACTGACCAGGTCCCTCTGGCCACCCACAGTACCAGAAGGGATGAGTCACAGTGTCTGCCCTCATAGTTGGAGGGGACAGGCAGCCCCTGAAGGGGTGGCTGCCACACCAAGGGCATCCTCCAGCTGACCCAAATGCTGGAGGACAAGAAGCTGGGCCATGAACCTTGCCTGGGGCACCAGGGAAAGCCCTGGGGAGGAGTTGGAGAAGAGACCTGAAAGACCAGCAGGAGCTGTCCGCAGGGCTCCAAGGCCACTCAGGAAAGCAGAAAACCCCAACATCAGAGGCAGGGCTTCGAAGGGCGGGGCCCACAGGCACGGGGTGGAGTTTATGAGATGGCTCAGACCTGGGTGTAAGTTGACAGGTCAGAGCTGTGTACACCAGCCACCTTGGGGAAGGCAGGGAAGAGATAGTGAGGGGTGACAGGAGAGGTGAGAGACAGGAACGGGGAACAGGGTGAGGAAGGATTCTGGAGGCAGAACCAACAGGATGTGGACATCCTTTGCCCAGAGTCCCTAGCTGTGCAGGGGACAGGGAACACCAAATTTGGCCTGCCAGGTGGGCACAGCCCAAGGGCTTCATGGCCCTGGACTGCTGAGAGCCCAGAGCCTGGCACTAGGGCCAGCTGCTGGGTTGGGAGGGAGGCGACAGACGGAAGGACCGCTCCTTCCAGCCACCACCAACCAGAAGCAGCCAAGATGACCTAGTTATCAGTGCCAGGGTGGGGGGTGCTTGAAGGTGGGGCTTGGGGGCTGACATCCTTCTAGAGACCCATCTCACAGCTGGTCGGCCTTCCACCACAACAGACCTCATTCCTAGCCCCCGACAGCTTCCTCCCATTCACAGAAACCCACCTCAAATCGCCCACCCCCCTCCCTCCCCATTGCCATGGCAACTGCTGAGCTCGGCCTCCTCAGGCCCAGGGGGCCTTGAACTGGAACCGCTTCCAGCGCTGAGCGTGCTGGGAAGCTTACCCGGGCCACTGTTTGTGTGTGCCAGAGAGATGCCCTAGCTCCCCGCTCCCCGCTGCAGGCTCGCCACTTCTCTGCATCCGGGAGCCTGCTGAGGAGCCCCAGGGGCAGGAAAGGTCCAGCCCAGCAGACTTTGGACCCTGGGCCTCCTCTGGGATCCCCTTCCCTCCCTCCCTCTTCTTCCAAGCAGCCAGTGCCCCTCCAGCTCTGTGCTTTGCACCTCTCCTCCGGGGGATGGGGGATCGCAGAGTCCTGAGACAGAAGAGGAAACGGAGGCTTCCCAAGCAAGGAACCGCCTTCCGCGACACAGAGGAAACCCCGGGCAGAGCTGAGATGGGGAGACAGGGGTCCCACAGCTCAGCCCTGGGACACAATGAGAAAGATGCAAGGGGCCCCCGAAAGCCCCCCCAGATCGGGCCAGGGACCTGTCAGCAGCTCTTAAGAGCCCTAGATGCAAAGCCTTGATCTGCTACCTGGAGCCAGGATTTCATGCTTCTGATCTCCGTTTTCTCATCTATAAAATGGAATGGTGAGCCCAGAGTGCTGGGGGACAGTAGGGATTAAATGCATGTCTCAGGCAAAGCAGGGGGCTCAAGCAACCATTACCACCGGGCGCCCACACCCTGCTCATCTTGCACCAGTCCTGGCCTCGAGACCCGGGACAGCCCCTGGCCCCAGCGCAGGTCAGGTACACACTTCGGGGTACTACGGGCTCCGGAATTAGGGAGGAAGATCCCTGTTTCTAGGGGGCACCCCACCTCTACCAGCCACACCCTGGGTAGTTCTCCCTACATGTCACCTCCGTACTGGATCCTGTCCTACCACAGCCCGTTCCTCGGGAGCCGCTTCCCCCGGGCTACGCTAAGCCCCTGAGCGATCCCCGCCCCCTCGTCACTCCCCCAGTGCTCACTGGCATTCTCCCCCTATCGCCACCCCTATCCGAAGCCCGCAACAAATCTTCTCACTGTCCCCATTTTCTCTGCCAGTCCCCCTCGGGGGGCAGCAGTCGCCACGCCCTCACTACCCTTCCACTTGTGGGCGGGCCGCGTGGACCCCGGAAAGGTCAGGCATAAGGGGGACAGTTCCCCTTCCCGGAAAGTTGGGGCGCCCACCCCTGGCGGCGCTCACATGTCCTTGGCGGGCAGGTTCTTCCCCTCCACGATGCGGATGGACAGCGAGCTGCGCTTGGCCATCGCGAGTCCGTGACGCGGGGGCCTGGCGGGTAGAAGCCAGACGCCAGGGTCCGGGGCAGCCGGCGGGCGGCGGGCCGGGAGGGGAGCGCGGGGGCGGGGGATTCGCTTCCACTTCATTCACCCCGCCCCCGCCCCACGTGCGGGGGACACTGCGCCGGGCGGACCAATCAGTGGCCGGGGTTCCCTGGTGGGGCAGGGCCGGATCAAGCAGCTGCACTCATTGGCTGTCTGGGAGGGAGGGTGTGGCCTGAACGGAGAAGTCGACCCCTGGCGGGCTCCGCTATGGGGCTAGAGGCACCGGAAAGGTCCGAGTCCCTGGACCCTGGGTCCCTTTGGCAAGTGCCAAAGTGCGCAGTGGGAAGTAGTCTGACTGTGCTAGGGGACACGCGGGCCGGGGAACGGGCGAGGAAGGGGCACTTACAGAAGCCCTGCATAGGTGTGAGTCTAATGAATGAGCGACCAGACGAACTTAGCAAATAATGTCGTGTGTGTGTGTGTGTGTGTGTGTGTGTGTGTGTGTGTGTG